AGTACTTATATTATATATATAAAATACATGGTTACTGTCTTGAAGTATAAGCGATATTTGGGCAAGGGTAAAAAAACGTGATAGAGGGCGAGGCTTGCCGAGCCCTCTATCACGTATTCGCCCCTAGTCCAAATATCGCTTATATTTCAAGACAGTATCCATGTATTTTGTTTATCCTGCAATATATTTTTAAGTCAGACCTCCAAAACGAACTATTTTCAACCGATATAGGTACATATCTGCAGTTGAAACTAAGACGCCAAGGTGTGACATTATATAAATAGTGCACGTTTTTGAGGGTAACAGTTGAAATTGACATCCCAAGGAAAACCATTGTCAACCGACGCGTCAGCGGAGGTTGACAATGCTTTTCCGAGGGGTGTCAATTTCAACTGTTACCCTCAAAAACGTGCACTATTTATTTTATTATACTGAATGTCTTACTGATTTCGGATGTCATTAAAAAAATTCGGAGATCGTCGTTAAGTTCAAGCTTAGAAATCTTTCAAACCGCTTCTATTTTTCTCAATAAGAAAGCTTCGAAAAAGATTTACCAACCTCTTTAGTGTTTGTTTGCTACCTAAAAAGTCCTTTATCATCTAAAGTTCGCACTTGCAAGGATGTTTCGTCTGTCGTCTGTTGTTTTCAAGTGAGCTAAATCGGACGCAAGCTTTTACTGACGTCGTTTATTCGGCTTCTTTCAAACGCAAAACCGACGTTTTGAGAATCCTACGGTGAACCGTACGCGCAGAATTTGAACGCATGTGACATTTTCGTAATGTTACCCGTTGTCAAGTGTGTTGCTAACGCTGAGGGTAATATTACGGATTGTTAAATGCGTTTAAACCAATCAGATTTTAGTATTTAACATGAAAGTATAATAATACAGTATACATGTATGATGTCACAATGATTTTAGAACGTCGGAATGCATACACGAGGCTTTAATAGGGCATTGACCGAATATAGCTTTGGTTTATTAGGCTACCTTTATTAGATCAATGCAAGGGGTAGTTGCAGTATAAAAAGTTTTAATAATTTTTTACATCAACATCTTAAATTAAATATTAATAAAAAATTTAACTTCCTGTGAACATTAACAAATTATCCACTCCTCTGTTTCACCACACTGTGCGTCCAGCAAGTCAGTGACGTCATACACGACCTGTCAGTACAAGATCATACTCGGTGATTACACGGGCGGTATTACTACGTAAAACCGGTCATAATCAGCGTATGGAGAGGTACTTTGTGAAACAAGAATCATAAAATTATTTTCACATAGGTACACGTAGTAGCAAAAATGTATGTAGGTATATATATTATTTCGATTATTAAGCTTACATGTGACGCCATAGTTGGTTTTCCCATACCCGAGAAATGCAAACGTTTTCATCATGCCTATGTCTTGTTTATCGATGTTTAACGATGTACCGATTAATATTGAGGTAAGATTCACCTTTCAATCAGTAAACTGAAGGACTTAAGTTTCAATGCAAATTTTCAGATATTGAATGATAGAAATGTTTCCCAATTAAGTTTTTTTCAAGTTTAAGTTTCCTTGAAAAGTACGCAGTTTTTCCTATCCATATGAAAATGGTAAAGTTAAAGAACTGTGATCGATCTCACTGTGATAAAATAAACTTGCTGTTTCAAATTTATCATTTAAAAAAAATTCCATTATAGACAAAATAGTAGGCCCGTACACATGAAGAATCAAAACTTTATATATACATATATAATATATAACTTCTTTTAGATATGCGGGACACATTAATAGTTTGATTATCAATAATGTACATCTAGAATATTCTTGATTAATCTTCTAAAATTTATACCCAATCGTAAAAAAAAAATGAGGCAAAAGTAAATCCAAAGCTTTAACTAGCCTTGGTAAATGCAAATTGAGTACGACTGCCAAAGTTTTAAATCCACTAGATTCGATCGGTCAATTTTACTGGACCCTTCTGTCGTGAAATGTAATCGTCAAATTTTCTTTGGAATGCACGCCCTTTATCATCAAGTCTTATCCAATAATACATACTGGAAACTAGCTGAAAATGTTCTGGAAATTCTTCTGAAAGTTCTTCGATTGCAGACATATAAATATATATTGGATGTGTAGATCCATCCAAGATGGAAATATTGTAGACATGGATATAACAATGAAATAATCTAGTTTTGAGATTTCTCTTAATATCACTTTGCTCTGTCATAATTTCTTTTCGCAGCTCTTTGTCTTCAACCTCTTCAATATCAATCATTTTTTCTGAAATAGCTCGACTGATACAAAGAATTGCTGTATCAATGGCAAAGGTTGACATACTGACATTTTCCTTTCGATACAGGGATAAACTCAGGTCGTAGAAAAAAGAAGCTAATAATGAAAAGTCTCGCGTTTTCTCTGTTGGTATTCTCATCCAAGCTAATCTAAAGTCTACTTCCCAAGGAATTACTTCATCAACGGTTTTGCAACTCTCATTTGAACAACTTGTAAAGATGTCAGATTTATTATTCCTATCAAACAGCTGTCGCAAAATTCCTCTTGATGTTTTTTGCTTAAATTCCTGTAGTCCCTTGAGAAAGAAATCTAAAAATCTTGGTCTTTTGAGGCTTTTTTCTACTATTTGTGGATGCAGCTCTATCATTTCCTCAAAAATTTTTCGAATCATTCTGAATGCCGATGTGTAAAACCCGAGACGACAAAAGAATCTGGAAACCCGAAAGGTTGTCGAGACAAATTTTTCCTGGTATATTTCATTCAAATTTCTAGACTCTGAAAAACTTTTGCAGTCATTAAAAACACTTAAATTTAGATTTCCACTAAATTTGTATCCGTGTCGTCCTGCAACAAAGCTTACAAACATCGCTGGAAACAGACGGATAACCTCGACATAGACACATATGGTATCAATTTCATCCTCAGTAAAATCATCTATGATATTGTTTGATGATACGAAATAATGTGGAAAGTATTTTCTTTTCAGATAGATTATTATCAAGGACAGTGTATATAAAATACATCCAGCAAGATTTGTCTCCCATTTTTGCTGAGGTATTTCCTCGCAGGCATACAGAAAAACTGAGAGAATATGCTTTCTTTTGAGTCCTCTGCATAAGACTCTAGTCGCTTCTTCGATCAAAATTTTAACAACATGATAACCATAAATTTGATAACTGTCTAGGGCTTCCAAAAAAAGAAAAGAATATGCCGCTGAAAAATCTAACTTCCATTCAATATCAGGATGAACACTTAAAGGATGACTTTTTTGGATCAAAGTACATGTCCCATGACTCACAATCCTAGATATTACGTAGGGAGATGGCCAATCGAATTTTCGCTCGCGTAGTACCCATTCTTTTGCAACAGCAGGGAACTGTTTGCAAACAAATCCAACGCAACATTGTCGTGTAAATGGAGGAAGTGTTATTTCCTCGGGTAGTTCTTGTTTTGTGAGGAACAAACTATCATTAAACCCAGGAAGGCTTTTCGTTGCGAAGGAGGTCTGAGTTTCTAAGGTTTGTAACCAGCAATAACCAGGATGTGTAGCGCTGCAGTCAGCATGCAAAATAGACAGTGACTCTCCTCGACTAGGACCAGCAGTTCCAAACTGTATGTCATTGCCAATATGTAAAGCAACCACTGAGGGATCTCTTTCAGAAATCTGCATTGATTTCTAAATATTTTTCGTTCTTGTGAAAGATCTTTTAACGCAACATTGTCACCGGTGGCAAAAATTCCAATACATTGAAACCATTGATTTTCGATTTCCATAGATCCAGCTACATTTGAGTATTCTATAATAAGTTCCTTTGGAAAAGTATGCTTTAAAATAAACGTTAGATGCGGAAGAGGAATTCCAGTCAAGGCGTCAACATGTAAAGGATCTTCAATGAGACACTCAAGCAAATCTGAAAAATTCCAGAAAAATATTTTTTTTTCAGCTAAAGCGAAATTAACATTAATTTTTATAATGATGATATTTTACAAGATACATGTATACGTTTCAAAGTATTTTCGTTGAATTTTATGTTTACTTTTGTCTTATAAAAACATTATGTTGCAAATATGAAGCAAGTAATTATTTCAATAAATTATATATAATGAAAAAGGTGAAGATAGCGAACAGTGATCGATCTCAAAAAGTCTATGAACAATACAAATATGTGAAGAGGGCATAAAACAAGGACCCCTGGAAATTCCAGAGGTGGGATGAGGTGCTTAGGAGGAGTAAGCATCCCCTCTTGACCAGTCACACCCGCTTTGAGCCCTAAGTATTGATCAGGTAGACGGAAAATTCCGTAGTAAAATTCAATATAAAAACAAAGGCCTAACAATTTGTATGAAACAAAAGCCAAAATACGACCCAATGATAGGTTATATTTGCTAACAATGTCATTGTAATGACCATAAAAGTTACGAAATGCTGACTTTAAACGAGGATGTTGAAATACCTGTAATATCGACTTATCTGTCAGTAGCCTGTCTCGGTTTAAAAATTGAGCATGCTCTTGAGTATCGAATCAGTTGGGAGATGTAAACACTATATGCATGTGATAGCGGGGAGTTACTACATAAGCAAGGAGAGTTGACGATGGAAAAGCTGAAATCGTCTCGTATGTCATACGATTCAGTTATCAGTTGGCCTTTATAGTCTATATTCAGTAAAACACCCCCCCCCCCCAAAAAAAAAAAAAAAAAAAAAACAAACAAACAAACAAACAAACAGATGTGGCAGACTCTGCAGTATCTTTTATTTCAAGTTCACTAGGATATATCGAATCGACATATGAACGGAAGTCACTAATTGTTAATTGATAATATATCGTCGATATTTCTGAATGTCGAATTATCTATTTCGAAAATTAATTTGGAAAAACGGTGAACTTAAATTTAGATCATTTATTGGTATGAATCCTTAAATAAGACACAAAGAAAAAAATAATTGGATTATTGCAGATCACTGCATAAGCATTAAAGAGTGTGCATATAACCTCACCATTTGTATCCTCGCTTTGTAGTTCATCTAAGCCATAAGAATTGAACATGGATATATAACACTTCTCTTGAGGAATTGATCTCTCTGATCCTTTTTCTGCAAATTTTGTCTTTCGTGATAACGATGTAACTAACTCTTGAAGTCCAGAGTCCTGGATGTGCCCTTTGATACCAAAATCTTTATATCTTTCAAAAGTTTTCTCTGAAACTCTGTGCTGGGGATTATTGCTTTTACAGAAAAAAGCTCGATGAAGTAGTGCTCCTGAAGAAATTTAAAAACAAAACACTTAAATAACATTTAACTAGTTTTATTTGCCTTAGAATTAAATTTTATGTTAATTGACAAACAATGTATGACACTTAAAAATAAGCTGGATATTTTAAGATACATACTGTACGGCCATAATTTTTCCCATTTCTTTGGACGAAGACTGACATAATGAAATTCTCCCAAATGTCCAAGGTAAATAGTCAATGCCGGAAGTGGAATGTCTTTCCTGGAGGATTTCACTTCTGTGTGTCGAACGTCGTCCTTATATATATTAAATACAACAGCTTCAAGATGAAGAGCATCAACTATTGCCTTCAACATTATATGATCGCTCCATTCTATCGGGTTTGACATTCTTGTCAGGTATTCAGCCCAAGTTTCGGTACTTAAGAATGATCCTATTGGACAACCATCTTCTTGCAAAGGATGATCCCTAAGAAACCTATCAGGAGATTGAAAATATATGTATTGAAAAACATGAAAATAACGAAAAATAATCGAACTGAAAATCTTTTAAATAATACAAAATTGTGAAACATGGCTCCATGGGAATCCTAGGAATTCTTAAGATGGGATCAGGTGACCAGGAGGAGTAAGCATCCCCTGTGGACGGGTAACATCTGCTCTGAGCCCGATGTATTGATTAGGAAGAATAAATGAATATGTTTTTGGATTTGAACTTTGTTCAATCGTCTTTTCTTATAAGATATGTAAGAAATCATTGTGTGAACGACTTTTGTAAAGATTAATAGCACCATTTCTCTGTGAGCCAACTTACTCATAAGTGTATCCAGATGATCATTCACATCTATCTGCATTCAACACAACATAATTATCGATATTCAATCGATACATGTATATGTTTAAATGATGGATTTCAAAAAGGGATAAATAGGTACTTATATTTTAACTTGAAGGTTTTTTCAGTTTTATGTTCAAAAGCATTATGAAGACAAAGCTAATAATTTCAACCTAATTATGCTATGCACTACATGGATGGGTTCATTAGTAAGAGGGTTTGAAGGTTAATACCGACTGCATGATTCATGCCGCGTTTCAAACCCCACTGCGGAACGTGGAGACGCGCATCAGATGAGACCGTGTAAACCAAAATCCCCTGCTTGCACAAAAAGATAAGTGCCGAGTACAGGCCCCAAGACCATAAACTGATTGATTGATTGATTGTATGTTGTTTAAGACCATAAACTGAGAACAGACTTAAGTCAAAATTAAACCAATATAACTTTGGAAATAATTTTAATAATGAAACTAAATTTTTATCATATATTTGAATTTAAATGTTATATAAAATTGCAAATTTTTAAGGTAATACATTAAACAAAACTCAAGATATTAAACATCAAAATTTTGACTTAAGTCTATTCTCAGTTTATGGTCTTGGGGCCAGACCTAATTTTGCAACACCCCCATCGACAGGTGTTGGCGTCTCAATATGAGTGAAAACATTTCAAAGGGAAGTTAAACAGACAAACAAACAAAAAAGAGAGAAATTAAATCTATGATTGAAAGTTCAACACTAAGGAGCACAATTGCTGTACAGATTTATTTTATGAAAGAATCAAAAAGTGTCTTTGAAATAATAATAATGATAATAAAAGTAACACGTATTTGGATACAGTAAGAGTAATAAAGTATATTTTCTAAATTTAACATTGCTGTGAAAAGAAACAAAAGAGTTGTTTATGTATAGTTTGTAAATAAATAGCATTTACGATAGCATAAGACGTATTCTTACTCAACAGCCATCTGTCTCAGGGTGTCTGCTGTATGACCAAAGTGACCGTTTATTGTTAGCTGGTCAGAAATTGATCGGAACATACAATTTCCATCGGTTTTTCCATTCCACATCTCAAAATTATTGTCAGTGGCAAACTTTCGGATTGATCTCAAGAAAACTGGCATATTCATATACTGTTCCACACCTTGGCCTATAAAGATTTAAAGTTTAATGCCAATATCTACGATGAAAAGCAAACCAGTTTCACAGTTTAATGAGTTTTGAACAAAAATAGCAAAAGGGAGTTTTTACCTTAAGAACTGATTATGTTAATTACTGAAACCAAGTTTTTGAAGATATCGATTCTAATTTTTTCTCCCGTACCTTTTTGATCGCGGGTGTTCTCAACGCAACCGATTGAGATGAAACATTTTCAGGGTTACATATGTAATAGGCACATTGTGTAGGAGTGTGAAACGAGGTTAATTTTTCTCGCGCCTGCAAGCACGTGCGTGCGCTTGCAAAGAGTGAAATAATTGATATAATTGAAAAAGTTTTCTTTTCTGTAATGTAACTGAAATGCTTTGAAATCAATACATAAACAAATATAAGTACTCAAGAAAAGGTGACGGCTGGATTGGCGTGAACGCAAGCGCATGGAAGCGTTCTTTATTCTAACTGATTTCGACAAAAATCTCAAAAACTTTCTTGTTTCTTGACCAATTTTAATGAAATGCAAAATATAGATACATATTATGAGGTTCTAACCAGATATACAAAATTCCTGTGCGCATATGCTGAAATTTCATTGATTGAAACTTTAAATGACAAAGTCTTTATTAGTTTTCAACAAAATGTATATATATATATATACTAGTGCAAAGAAATCTGATTTACTTATACGCAGTATCTACGCTGTGATCAGGAAAACACTATTTGGTAAATAAGTGAAATTTGCTCATACAAAAATATTGCCTAATTAATAGAAGCTTGTATGGAATTGGGTACAGCAAGGGAATTGGGAGGCAACATCTACATTTCAATTAGTACTAATTTTGATTGCTTTGAAACCCACTTACTGTATCTTCCGTCTGCGTGTGATATATTATAGCGATCCAAACCTCCATATACAAAGTCATCATCGGCATCCCTCATCAGACGTCTATTACAGGACAACTGGTATTCGTCATCACTATCAAAATAGTCTGTAGCATCGTCTTCATCGTCAGAAAAATCATCATTTCCCTTCGTAGAATCATTTGAATTGTGTGATTCTTCTTGTCCAAAGTAAATTTCGTTGGAATCTTTAGAAGGCTGTGCATAATTTGAATCAGACAAGGTTATTTCCCGAGGTTGTGATTTTTGGAAGAATTCTGTCTCCTTTAAATTATTTCTTAGAATCTCATCATCATTTTCAATTTCGTCTTTTTCTTCATAGGTCCTCTTTGCCCAAATGTTATTTAAGAAGTTCGATGATTTTTCTGTTGACTTTTCAAACAAGTTGGCAACATACCCTGTAGCATAGGGATTTTGTAAATTATCTTTGTCAGATCCATCCATTCTTGTCCTTCACAACATAGCAAACACATATATATGCATATAAAATATTTCTACTGATGATTTTAAAGAAATTTCCTTATAGAAAAAGGGGGACGGAAACTGTTCCTAAAAAATTATATGGTGTTATACATAGGCTTTAAATTATAATATCCGTTTGTCGTAGATGTATGCATTTCTCTTTCATTAAATAAAGGAAGTTAACTTTTTAGTATTTCAGCTAATCTGCAAATTCATAAAGGACTGAACTCTACACTTATGCCGATTGAGCAAAGAGAGATCGTTTAAGTGTTAGTACATGTAACTACTGCGACACAGGACCACAGTCTCGAGACTTGCATGGAAGGAACAACTCCTTACTTTGCAAATCTAGAACGAGGCGACACCTCAGCTCACTCCTCCACAGCACCTGATCCCACCTTTTTTTCAGAAGCCCGCGTTTTCTTTGTTCACAATTTGTATCGTTTTAATTGGACTTTGAACTTGATTACTGCACTTATCTTCACATTTTACTCTTACTATTCCCCCCCCCCTCCAATTGAAACATTTCAATTTCAAATTATTTATACAGACTTGGTTACTTTTTATTACAAACTTAAGGATCATGAAATACAGAATGTTTAAAGAGACTTTTTCGAATTTTTAAAAAGAAATATTTAAGAGATTCAATCCTAGATAGAACCTTATCTTCCGTATTATGGTATCTATCACATATTAAATACACTGGTATTAATTTAAAGCATTTTGAAATAGAAAAGAATTAACCAAGAGAACAAGAGAAATCTATTACCTAAGGATGACAGATGAAGATAATGAACAGTAATCAAGCTCAAAAGTCCATTGAAACAATGCAAATGTGGAGCAGATCAAACACGAACAATATCAGAGTGGGATCAGGTGTCATGGAGGTATAAGCATCCCCTGTCAACCCCTCACACCCTCCGTGTGCTCCTTGTCAATTTTTGGCAAGCGGAAAAACCCGTAGACACAATGTCCTCACAATTTGTATAAAAATGTCAGTCAACATTCGCTTAAATAATTGATTGTATCTGCTGACAAGGTCATTGTATCGACCATAGAATTTGCGAAATATTTATTTAAACAAGACTGCTATTCTTCTTGTTTCATATACTTATTTGTCAATAGCTTGCCTCTTTTAGAAATTGTTTGTACGTGTAGAGCATGCTCTTGCGTATCGAATTCGAATCAACTGTGAGACATACACTCCATTCATGCAGGTGATAATGATACATGTATATTGTACATAAATAAGGAAAGTTGATGATAAAAATGTAGAAGTCATCTCGTCTATCATAAAGATTTTTGTTAGGTTATCATTTACGTCTTTTTCTTCTAGTAAAATATCCAAATAGGTGTGTCAGACTCTGTGGTATCTTTTATTTTGAGTTTAAAGGAATATATTGAATCTACGTAGGAATGCAAACTACTTTTTACTAATTGAGCTATGTATGGACAGTAGGGATCTCTGGTTACTTTTAGCCCTATTTCCACATTACACATCTTATAATTTATTAATCAATATTCTTAGCAAAGTGTAACATTAGTAAAGTGAAGCCATAAGCATAACAAATCCATGGTCCTTTCCACAGCATATGCTGTCCTTAGGTAGGCTCTCTTTCTTTTCCTAGTGGATTTAAATCCAAACAACATTTGCATCGGTTCACTCAATGAATTTGCGGATAATGGTTTTCATTTGTAAAGGTAGTTGGGTGTATAGCAAAGTCAAAAATAACTCTTAAGGTCTGACAACAAGTTCCTCAAATATCTGTTTTGCTTCTCCTTGTGAAATATAAGAAATATTCATAATATTAACATTATCTAGTGATTTCTAACTGTTTCAACATGTCTTAGAAAATTAAAAAAACAACAACAAAAATTGTGATATTGACAGTTCAGTTGATTTCAAATGGGATTATATAGGAAACATCTGATATCTTGCACTAATGCCTGGTAAGGTACCTCAATTTTTGGTGAGGAAACTTGTTAAAGTCGCAGTACTTCAGTGACAAATTCTTGGGAAAAATTATATATTATTGAGGAACGTGTCGTCTGACCTTAAGGTTCTTAATCCCTCTGGTCATTTTTATTAAATGTTGCTTTAATGCTTATGATTTTCCAAGAGAATTTTATATTATAAGTATAAAATATCAACAATCTTAGCATAGTTTGTGGGGTAAAACTGGACAAAAAAGACATTTAAACTTGAAATCCTTATTAAGGAATAACCAACATTAATCCCATTAAGAGTTACTTTTATCAGAGTATCAGTGAACCTTAAAATGTTTGTTCATAAAGCCTGAACTATACAACAAGAGTTTTGACTTGCACTTCTTGACCTTTAACGTTTGTTCAAGTTTGCTAGGTCTTTCTCGTTCCATGAAAGTTTGCTTAGGGGTCGATCGACTGTTCGTGTATCAGTCAATAATTCTGACCCACACTCATATCAGCTTTGCTACCATTTGTACTTGAAAGAAGTCAAATGACTAATTTATAAGAAAATACAGTCAGAGTACATGAAACTTTTTCAGAATAGCATACCCATTAAAAATATAATGAAAAATTGATTAAAAAACAAACTATCTAAATTTGGCAACAAAATTTATTTACATTGGAAATACTTCCCAGTATGCTTAAACCATGCACTGGTTTCAAATTTCAGTTTCCTTTTCTAGGAATTGTCACATCTGCATATTGATATTCAATCAGATATTAGAGTACATCATACATTGATTAAAAGGAATGATATCAAAGAATTTTGAAAAGTATAATGAAGATGCAACAAAACACTGAAGTAAAGATTTGTTTATTTTGCAGAATGATACTGCAAGATGAAATTTAAACCAAGTCAGATGATAAGAAACAAATGGGGGTATGTTAAGGAAGCATTCAAATCATTTGTCGGGAAATTTAGATTTTTAGAAAAAAATTTAAAGTTTGATAAATTATTAAAGCTGCCGATCAAACGTAAACTATTATTAACTATTGCATTAAAACAACAGTGTGTCTGAAGCTAAGAAGTTCACCAACACAACGTCATCACGTGACTGTTGTTAATAGAAAATATTCCTTAGTTAACAAAAAACGTAAATGGAAAGACACCACACCGGGGTTTAATAATTTATTTTAGTAAATAATGCACATGAAAAACATCTTTTATGCCTAAAAAGTGCTGCTAGAATCCTTCTGTCCGATCGGGAAAATAATTAATCCACAAATTCGCACGAAACCTTACCCGATATTTTGCACTATATACATATAACCCGAGATTTTTCTTCAACCAATGTTTACCTCACGATTTTAGCAGGACTTTCCAAGTATTTTAGAACGCAAGCTTTCGACCAGTACAAATATTATGTTGTGAAGTATCCAGCTTAGTGGTGTTCTTTTGCATTATTTTGTCACGAATGACAGAGGAAAGGCCGGTCGGGATACGGAAATAGCTGACTGTCTTCAATTACAAGATATAATCGATGAAAATTCATCAGCATGGCTGTTCAACAAACTTAAATTTATATGAATCACTCATAATATTCAGGGTATTTGTTTCTAACCCCCCCCCCTTTTTTACGAAATCTTTTTTCATGCCGTCTAAGCAAAATTCTCTTTACAAAACATGATCAATTCTCAAACTATTTGTTAAATAGTTAGAACGTCATCGGTCGGAGATTTTATTCCAAGTGATAGATTTTTGTTAATATTTGCATGCTTCTATTCATTTTCAAAAGTTTAATTACATCTCTAAATACCAATATTAAGAAAGCTTGAGTTCTAAAATTGATGTCATTTTGCCTACGATGACGTCATATTGTATCACTGATTTAGTCAATTCAGAATTTCTGAGTCTTTCCTTAACACACCTGCGAAGGCATAATCAAGGATGATAATACATAAAAATCCATCTATAAAGTGTGAATCCTTGACATCAGCTTTCTCAATCATTGACAGAGTGAAGGATTCAATAAAATAAAACTATTTGACACTAAAACAATAAATGCTTTGACAGCAAGTTCTTACTAAAATACTAGTAAAAGCATGTTAGTTGCGATAATAACAACAGACAGACACAGAATACAAGTATGCAGATGAGGAGATTTCATGAAGGACAAGACCAGTTATATATGTCAAACTACACTTGGGGTACTGAATAAAATGTAGGGAAAATCTAACATATTCTTATTAGTTATATTAAAGTTTGTGTCATTTGTTTCAGCGAGTGTATGTTTGTTTTGTGTGCTGTTTAACGTCCCTCTCGAGAATTTTTCACTCATATGGAGACACCACCACTTGCAGGTGGAGAGCTGCAAATTTTGACAAAGTCTGCACTCAGGGCCATTGAGCAGTGATGGATCTTTTTCGTTCCAGCACCTACTGTGACAAGGGACTTCAGTTTTTACGGTTTCATCCAAAGAACCGGTCTCCACGCGCTGCACAGTTAAGGCTACAATAAGGAGGCGGGGCCTAATTTATATGGGAAATGCTTACTATAACATCACAAAAAAATATATGTTCTCCAAATTACCACAAATTGAAACGATTTGCTATTGTAAACTGTTAGATAGCTTTAAACTACATCAATAAATACTATTGCATGTATTTTTGTCGTTGATTAAATCCCATACAGCAATATATTAACATTTCACCGATCGCAATGCACTTGTCAATGTGACGTCATATCGTAAATTTTGGCGCAGTTTGTATGCAGTGAGAGGCGGATCAAGTTATATTTTATACAGTGAAAAAGTATTTTGTAATTAAATAAAATAGTATTTACAGATATATAATAAGCCATTAACTTGGATGCGATGTCTATTATATGATTTTATTCATATACTTCCCGTAGATTCCCTAGACAAGAGATACTGTCGTATATTTGTATGCAGATTCATTGAAGGGTAATAGAAAAGTCGTAATAAATCGATATATTGCAAGGGCATACCCTCAATGAATTATGATAAGCTTTTACACATAAACTCAAGAAGTAT